CCCCAAAACCCCAAAACCCCAAAACCCCAAAACCCCAGAAGAGTAATTTCACGCTGAAAATCATAATAAATCAATATATAAGAAATGCTATTAATAGCTATTTTTCAGAAACATTATGGAACCAAACATTTACACAAAAAATGATAGTAGAAGGATATCTATGATCTTAAGTGAGAATTTCATAAGAGATCATCATAATTTCGTATCTTTCTCTCCCAAAACAATGGTAAGAAATATCCTATTAAATTGTAAATAGAAATGCTAATAATTGGCTATTAAACAAGTATCCTGAAGACTTCAGGTGATAGACCCAATTTTGTGTGAATAGTTCACTTCGAGACTTAATAAGGAACGTATAATTTAAAGATAGTTCCGATCATATAAATATTGTGCTGAAATTAGACAAGAAGCATATACCCAGGTTAGAGTTGGGGTCATAGGAGATGTTCTTTCAAAGTATTCTGGTAAGATCGACCTTCTTACTGCTCCTGTTTGATCAAGGACAGTCTCTCTCTATAAAAATGCAGGGCTAGAATGATATATTTGAGATAAAACTAAATTCGCTTAGCAAACTTAAGGAGGTTAATAAACCCAGAGATAGATTTTGATTAAGGAAAATTACGTCTCTCTGAGCTTCCATTATTGCAGCGATCCAGCTTTGTAGCCAAAGTTATAAGTGGGGATTTTATGGAGTCGCTCTGTTAAGTCAGCGCGACTTAAAAATCTAATTATTATTGTATTTTTAAGTTTAAGCTTATTATTAACTAGCTTTGTTGGATTTCATGCCGAATTACATCCTGCTCTGATAAAACTACGATTTACTTTGGTAAAATCTCCGCAAACATTATTAAATTCTTGAAAATTCTTGAAAATTCTCATAAAATGTAATTTATCTCTATTTAAGAGCACCCTAACTGTTTTCGTTGAAAGCTCTATGATAAGGCATTTCTTGAGCAATATTATAGAAGTTGGAAAACTAACTAAATTATTCAAATCCTCTAATCCTAAAGGGGTTTTGGGGTTTTGGGGTTTTGGGGTTTTGGGG